CTCAACCGACTGCGCCACCCAGGCGCCCCAAGAAAAATTTTTTTAATGGGCAGAGGATACGAACAGACATCTTTCCAAAGGAAAAAAATGCAAGCGGCCAAGAAGTGCATGAGAGACGTCTGGCGTCATTTACCGTCAGGGAAGTGTGGCAACAGGGCCAGGGTGAGATGCCACCTCACGGCCCCGGGGCTGGCTAGAAGCAAGGAGACACCAAAACAAGTGTCGGTGTGCATGTGCAGACCCGGAGCTCACACGCTGCTGGGGGGGTACTCAACGGTGTCCCTTTGAAAACCAGCGCGGCAACTTCGCAAAACCGTAAACAGAGTCGCCACAGGACCGGGCAACCCCACCCGGTTATCTGCCCACCAGAGCCGAACTCGCAAACACTCGCACGGGGACTCTCACGGCGTTACTGTTCGGAACAGCCCCCGCCACGTGTGTCCCCTCCACGGCGGACACAACCCAGACGGCCAGCCACCGACAACTGGGAAAGGAAACATGGTCTATGCACACAGCAGAATACTCTTCCTCCACTGAAGTCTGAAGTCTGACCTAAGCAACACAATGTGTGAACCCTGGGAACAGTCCGCCAAGGCCAAGAAGCCAGTCGCAGAAAGAGCCGTGTGACACGCTCCCGTGTGTAGGAAGTGTTTGGAACAGGCAGATCTGCAGGTTGCCTAGGGCTGGGGTAGAAGGTTTCTTTCCGGAAAGATCAAAGTGTTCTAAAATGAAGGGGCGCCCGGGGCGGAGTGGGGGGCCTCAGTCGGTTGAAAGTCTCGCTCTTGATCTCAGGTCATGATCTCAGTTTGTGAGATCAAGCTCCACGTCGGGCTCTGTGTGGACAGCGCGGGGCCTGCTTGAAATTCCCTCTCTCCCTCTCTCTCTGCCCCTTCCCGCCTCGTGCTCGCTCTCTTCCTCTCAAAATAAAGAAACACTTAAAAAATATTTAAAAGACAAAATAAATAAAGCAAAATGTTTAAAGTGTCCTAAACTGAGAGCCTGGGGGCCCCTGGGTGGCTCGGTCAGTTGGGTGTCCGACTGGATTTTGGCTCAGGTCAGACCCCAGGGTTGTGAGATCGAGCTCCACATTGGGATCCATGCTGAGTGTGGAAGCCTGCTTGATTCTCTCTCTCTGCCCCTCCCCTGCTCACATTCTCGTTCTCTCTCAAAATAAATAAACATTTAAAAAACAAAAATAAAATGAGACCATGATGATGGCTGCATAACTCTGTCAATATGCCGACTGTGCTGAACCGTCTACTTCGAATGGGTGAAATTCATGGTGTATAGACTGTGTATCTCAATCTCAAAACAGCTTTCCTTAAAAAAAAGTGGCGTCTTTATTTCTGGGCCTCACAGAATGCGTTTTCTTTTTTTAATTTTATTTTAACGTTTATTTCTTATTGAGAGACAGAGAGGGACAGAGTGCAAGCCGGGGAGGGGCAGAGAGAGAGGGAGACACGGAATCAGAAGCAGGCTCCAGGCTCCGAGCCGTCAGCACAGAGCCTGACGCGGGGCTCAAACTCACGGACCGCGAGATCGCGACCTGAGCCGAAGTCGGTAGCACCCGACCGAGCCACCCAGGCGCCCCAGAGAATGCGTTTTCAAAGAGCGATCCACCAGAAATGTCTCTGTGCTCTCCACGTGGAGAGGAAGCAGCAAAGCCAGACGCGACAGCGTGACCGCGGGCGAGTTACCGCGTGGTAACAAGCAGGCCAGACACAGTCACGGCCTCTGCGCCACGGGAGCGGTCGTGGCGCTGGTGTTAAAACACCAAAAAGGCTCCTGCTTGTGGCACGAAAAGACGAATCATGCTGGTGACTACACCGGAATCTAAGTCTGATAAAGACAGTGAAATAAAACAGTGTTTTGGCTGAAAGGGGTTACCGAAAAACCCGCTCAGAGCAAGAGCCACACACACAAACACACCCCAAAGTGCCTGACAACTTCAGCAGTAGAGAAGGGAAGGAAACAGCACAAAATCGTGTATTTGCGTTTTGATTTCCCTGACACAACATCCAGCGTCTCGCCAAAGAAACGAACACACAGCTGCGTGTCCTCATCTAGCTCAAGGCTACATTCAGCTCCACGCTTCATGCGCAGGTTATGGGAACATCTTCACAATACTCGTGAAGTCAGTTTCTGCATATTGTCAGCTTTTCTTTTAAAAAATCAGAGAGGTGCCTTATAAAGTAACCCCCCCTGAGCGGGAGCCAGGATCAGGATGAAAGGACTCTAAGAAATAGTTCCAGGACATTCTGAATGTGGGCGAGAGAAAAGGGAGCAGAGATCAGGAGCCTTGGGTCTTTATGAACACCCATCTGAAGGCCGCCGGCAGGCCTGCGCCAGAGCCACACATGTCACCCGAAAAAGACCCGCGGGTCTAAAATAAATCAGCCAACGACTGAGCTACTCCAAGTGTTAACTATTTTCCTCGATCTGTTGCCTCGTTACTCTGAAAGACTTTTTTCTATCCGATTTTTTCTTAATTAAAAGGAGTACGATGCCACCTTCCATTCTCCCACCCCACACTCCCACCAAAAAATAATGCAATACGTACGAAAAAATTTTCCACTTGAAATTCGTAAGTGTACGGCTTTAAGGGGATGGAGAGCCGTCCTCCCGAAGCCGGGGAGGATCCAACGGAGAACCGGCAGCGCAGAGAAGGGGGAGGCGCGCGCGTCCACTTCAGCTCCCACACAAAGAACACTGACTGCTTGCTGCGGACGTGCTGCAGAAAGAGTCACTGTCATGGCGCACACGGACGCAGCGCACACCGCACCCCACGCCGCGCTCCGAGCCCGCCGCCGGGACCCGCCTCCTGGTGCTCCCGCCCGTGCCCCACGGTCCTCCTGCCCTTCTCCACTGGAAGACTGCGCCAAGTCAGTTAAAGGTTTTGATCTTCTCTGACTCCGTAAGCTTCATGGCACAAGGGACCATAAGAGTGCTTCAAGAACGTTTATCAGTACACGGTGTCTCGTACGTTTCCAAACTGGGAAATGCCATCAACCGATGGCAAAGGTCGCCTTTACGTTCAGGCCAATGACTTTAGACTTAACATCAGCCTGAATGAAGCACCAGTACCGCCCGTGAGCACAGGGACGAACTGGGCCAGCGTCTGAAATGGGTCAGCTCTTAGCCGGGGGAAGTCCTTCAAAAATGCTACAGATCACACATCCTGAGAAACCCTTTGAATGTCTGCGACGGCAAGGTCTGCGCTCAGCCAGGCAGCGCGAACACGGGTGGGATGCCTTACAAAGCTACACGGGCACGAGAGGTCTTCCTCGGGCACGGACAGGTGTTCCCAGAAAGCTGTGCACACAGCAGGGCAAACTTAAGGCTGAACCCCTCTCAGAACGCAGAGAGCACTGTCCCCAATCCGCCCCGTGCCGCCCAGCCCGCAGGAGGCACAGCACGCACGTCATGGCAACGACGCGGCCGTTTCAGAGCAGACGCGCTTATCGCCGGGACGTCACTCTCGGGGCTGCAAGGCTCACTCTACAGGCAGACTATGTCTTCATCAAAACCTGCTGGAACCACCGTCGCACCCTGGCCCCCGCCGTTTCCTGCCGGGGCTGGACGCTCCACCCCAGAGAGCCGTTACCTGCGGGGACTTCGCGTTCAGCGGCACCAGCCGTAGGTCGGCGTTACTGTCAGGATCCACGAGGTGACCGTCCGACAGCTCAAAGTCAAGTTCCGACAAATTCTGGACACAAACTTGAATGTACTTCCTGAAGCAGAAAAAGAAAGAATATGATTTTGAAACTTAAGAACTTCAGTAAACGTACTCTGGTTTCTTGAGAAGATCTTCCTGGGGAAGTGAAGTAGGAACCACTTGTTACGTGTGTTTCCACCTTCGATTTTATGGGGGAAAGTGTCCCCACCAAAACCCAATCTCCCCAAGCAAGCTGCTTCTGAGGAAAACCGGACCAAAGAACGTTCTGTTTCTGACCCAGTGCCGTTACACGGCTGTCACTGGACTTCTGCACACGCAGCAGCTTGCGGGGAGTTAGGCTGGAGAGTGATGGTCCCGGAGAAACGAAGTGCGGGGTCCACGTCGACCCCTGATGCACACGACGACAAGTCTGAATAAAGCGACCCAGGCTCTGCTCGGAAGCGCTGGTGTCTTCGCCATTAACATCTACGGTTCCCTCCCCGTAACATGAAGGAAACGCAAGCAAGCCGCTAGCAGAGCGCCCGCTCTAAATACAGTTCCGACACCGTTGTTCCCAAATGATGCAAAGGTCATCCGAGGTCATCAACGGATGAAAACAAAAGGAATTTTGTGACGAGAGGCCAGACTCAGCCCTGAGCCCAGGGAGCAGTGTGCACGTCACCACTTATGGTGGGACAGTGGGAAACGGTCTCCTGGCGGGGACACACGGCACAGGGCTCCGCCTCCAAGCGCTCGCGTCCAATGGCCGAATCAGAATAGAACCCGGCTTCTAGAGCAGAAGCGCTTCCCCCCTGGAGGCGGTTTTGCCCCTGCAGGGGACGTGGTGCTACACCTCAAGACACTTCTGGTGGCCACAGTGGGGGTGGGGAGGATGGGGAGGGCCACGGGCATAAAACGGGAGTGGCGGGGGTGTGCAGAAGCCCCGCGGCCCCCCCAAACAAGGGGCTACCGGACCCGAGCGTCAGTAGTGCTGGGGCTGAAATCCTGGCTCAGACGGAACTAACAGTTGCCTTTGGAAACAGTTACACAAACCCACAAGATCCTGACCAGTCAAGTTCAGAATGGTGGACCTTCTAGAGGAGAAATGACCCAAGTTTGTCAATGGGTCGCTGGCTTGAGAAACAGGAGAGAAGAAAGTCTCTAATAATCAAATGGGGCCTTGGTTTGGATCCCACTGCCCACATCCTAACCGCACAAAGGCATTTCTGAGACACCTGGGGAAATGTGAATCCGGACCGGCTGTTACAGAGCAGCAGGAAATCCCTGTGAATCTCAACACGTGGAAAGCGGCGTCACGGTTACGTAAGAAAACATGCTCAGTGTCCCTGAGGCCGAGCTCTGCGCAGCCAGGGGCTCCGTGGAGGAGGGCGTGGGGCAGGAGCAAGGCCTGGGGGCCACCTTTACCGTGTCCCGGCGGACAGAAGAGAGTGTGTGGTCCTGAAGGGCACGCTGAAGGTCAGGGCGATGACAGTGGAGTAGATGGACCACGGGCAGTCAATGGACACCTGAGGAGAGACGGAGGGACACGCGTTCAGACCACTCGACGACCACAGCCACCGCCACACCATCCATCCAAATCAGCGGTGGCTGCCAATCTCTTAGACATTCGATGGCCTCGCCATTTCTTGCTTAGAAAGCAAACCTCCATTAATCACATGCATGAACAAAGGGGAAACATAAAACTACGTACACAGACGAGAAAAATAAACACGGAAGCGGCCAAATGTGCGGGAGTCACCAGAACGGTCTCCAAAGCTCCAGAGCTGATGCCGTGGCAAGGAACACCAGCGCCACCTCGCTCTTCCCACACCAACATGGCCGCGACGCCAAAGGCGGTTTTTAACGTGCGGGAGGTTATAACAAAGTGCTCTGTCAAGTCGACATGATCAATCACTGTTACAAAATGAATTAGCCAAATAATCCACACGACAACGACTACGTAACAGAGAAGCAAGCACTTTGGGGGCGCGGTGTGGACCCAGCTGGTAACTCCGCTAAGGGCATGAGCCTTGCTTCAAGCTTCCGTTTACTTCCCCCTGGAACAAATGACACAGAGCACAGATGCATGTTCATCCAGCCCTGGTTTCACGCTCACGTTGAAGTAAGTATCAACTTCACCTCCTGAACTCTGTTACCAGATAAGGGAAGAAAATGTCAAGGAATGAAAATTAAAACATTATCCCTGAGGTGCTGACCAGTCTTGTGTTCTAAGCCTCATCTCTCTGCGATGACTGTGTGTGTTAGCCTGACGCATGTTTTTTTTTTTTAATTATTCGACTTATTTCAACTAAAAAAAACACACAAAAAACAAAAAAACCCAGCTCACCCATTTCTCCTGTCTCATCTCTCACCCCTGCCTCTGGCATCCACCGGTCTGCTCTATCTATGAGCTTAGTTTTAGTTGTTTTTAGATTCCATATAGAAGAGAGATCGTATGGTATTTGTCTTTCTCTTATTTCAGTGAGCGTAACGTCCTCAAGGTCCATGGGAAGACTGCAAATGGCAAGATTTCCTTCTTTTTTATGGTGAGTAATATTCCACGGTGCATCTACACAATGTTTTCTCTATCCATTCATTCATCCATCGCTGGACACTTAGGGCTGTTGCAAATAAAGCTGCGGTGAACACGGGGGTGCAGATACCTTTTCAAGTAACTGTTTTCATTCTCTTTGGATAAATGCCCAGAAGTAGAATTGCTAGATTGTAGGGTAGTTCTATTTTTAATGTTTATTTTTGAGAGAAAGAGAGAGAGAAAGAGAGAGACAGGGGGTGAGCAGGGGACGAGCAGAGAGAGAGGGACACAGAATCCGAAGCAGGTTCCAGGTTCCGCGCTGTCAGCACAGACCCCGATGCGGGGCTCGAACCCACAAACCATGAGATCACGGCCTGAGCTAAATCGGACACTCAACCGACTGAGCCCCCCAGGCGCCCCTATTCTTAATGTTTTGAGGCACGTTCATACTGTTCTCCAGAGCGCCGCCCCAGTCGGCATCCCCACCAACAGCACATGAGGGCTCCGTCTCTGCACATCCCATCAGCCTGACTAGTAATGTTGAGCATCTGTGTGTCTTCTCTGGAAAAATGTCTATTCAGATCTTCTGCCCATTTTTATCAGGTTGTGGGGGCTTTTGCTAGAGTTGTAGGAGTCCTTGATATATTTTGGGTATTACCACCTTATCAGATAGATACGATTTGAAAATATTTTCTCCCGTTCAGTAGGTTGTCTTTTGACTCTGTGGATGGTTTCCTTTGCTGTGTAAAAGCTTTTTTATTTGATGTGGTCCCACTTGTTAATTTTTGCTTTTGGTGTCAGATCCGTAAAATCACTGCCAAGACCAATGTCAAGGAGCTCACCACCTATTTTCTCCTAGGATTTTATGGCTTTAGGTCTTACATTCTAGCTTTTAATCCATTTTGAGGTTTTTTTTTTGTGCGTAAGACACGGGTCCGGCTTCATTCTTTTGCATGTAGCTGCCCAGTTTTTCCAGCACCATTTATCTGAAGACACTGTCTTTTCTCCATTACACATTCCTGGCTCCTCTGTCATAAATAAACTGATCACATACGCGTGCATTTATTTCTGCACTCTATATTCTGTTCCACTGATCTGTGTATGTGCTTTTATGCCAACACCATAATGTTTTGATTACTATAGCTTTGTAATATAGTTTGAAGTCAGGGAGCATGGTGCCCACAGCTTTATTCTTTCTCAAGAAAGTGGTGGGTATTTGGGGTTTTTTGTGGTTTCATACATTTTACGATTCTCTGTTCTATTTCTACAAAAAATGCCATCAGAGTTTCGGTAGGGATTACACTCAATCTGTATATTGCTTTGGGTAGTTATGGGCATTTTAACAGTATTAAATCTTCCAATCCAAGAGCACAGGTTATCTTTCCATGTATTTGTATCTTCTTCAATTTCTTTCATCAAAGTTTTGTAGTTTTCTTTCTTTTTTTTTAAAATTTCACTTATTTGATTGATTTTTTTAATTTACATCCAAGTTAGTCAGCATATAGTGCAGTAACGATTTCAGGAGTAGAATCCAGTGATTGGTCCCCTACGCACAACACCCAGTGCTCACCCCAACAAGTGTCCTCCTTAGTGCCCCTTGCCTATTTGGCCCATCCCCCCCCCACAACCCCTCCAGCCCCCCTCATTTTGCTCTCTGTATTTTAGACTCTCTTATGTTTTGTACCCCTCCCTATTTTTATATTATTTTTATGTTTTTAGATTCTCTTATGTTCATCTGTTTTGTAGTTTTCAGTATGTGGGCTTGTCACCTCCCTGGTTAAATTCATTCCTAGGTATTTTATTCTTTTAGATGCAACTGTAAATAGAACTGTTTTCTTTATTTCTCTTTCCAATAGCTCATCATTAGTATAGAGAACCACAACAGATGTCTGCATACTCATTTGGTATCCTGCACCTTTACTGAATTTAAGTTTTTTGATGAAGCCTTTAGAGCTTTATATATATGTATACACACACACACACACACACACACACACACACGCAATATGCCATCTGCAAATAGTGACATTTTACTTCTTTCCCTCCGATTTGGATGCCTTTTATTTCTTTTTTCTTGCCTAACTGCTCTGGCAAAGACTTCCAGTACCACGTGGAATAAAAGTGACAAGAGCAGGCATCCTTGTCTCACTCCTGATCTTAAAAGAAAGGCTTTCAGCGTCCAGCACATTATTAGCGTGGGCTTGTCATACGTGGACTTTATTACGTTGTGGTATGTTCCCTCTATCTCCACTTTGTTGAGAGTTTCTACCATAAATGGATGTCGAATTTTGCCAAATGCCTTTCCTGTGTCTCTTTTCAGCCTTCACTTCGCTACTGTTACCATGGTGTATCACACGGACGGATTTGTGGCTGGTGAACCATGCTTGCATCCCTGAAATAAAGCCCTTTTGATCATGTGTATGATCCTTTTAGTGTATTGCTAAATACGGCTTGCTAATATTCTGTTGAGGGCTTTTGCACATAGGCGCATCAGAGACACTGGCCTGTAATTTTTGTTTCTTGTGGTGTCCTTTTCCGGTTTTGGTACCAGGTCAGTGCTGGCCTCGTAGAATGAGTTTGGAAGAGATCCCCCCTCTTCTGTTTTCTCGAAGAGTTTAAGAACTGTAGTAAGAATGTACTAAGAATTAATACATCTTCTTTGAACATTCTGTAGACTTCACCAGTGAAACCTTCTGGCTGGACTTTCATTTGTTGGGAGGTTCTGATTATTGATTCAGTCTCCTTACTAGTAATCATTCTGTTCAGATTTTGTTTCATCATGGTTCACTCTTGGTAGGTGGTATGTTCCTAGGAATCTATCCCTTTCTTCTAGGTTGCCCGATTTGTCGGCATACGATTGTCCGTAACAGTCTCTTGTGATCCTTTGTATTTCCGTGGTGTCAGCTGTAACATCTCCTCGATTTCTGATGTGAATCCTCTCTCTTTTTATCTTGGTGAGTCTAGCTAAAAGTTTGTCGATTGTATCGTTTCAAAGAACCAGCTCCCAGTTTCATTGATCATTCCTATTGCCTTTTTAGTCTGCTTCATTTCTTTCTGCTCTAACGTTTGTTATTTCTTTCCTTCTACTAAGTCTGGGCTTTGTTCCTCTTTTTCTAGTTCCTTCAGGTTAGTAAAGTTAGGTTACTTGAGACTTCCGGTTTCTTGAGGTGGGCATTTATCCCTACAAACGTCCCTGTTAGACCTGCCTTTGCCACATCTGGCCAATTTGGGTATGTCCCATCTCCATTTTCATTTGTCGCAAAGCATGTTTTGATTTCTCTTTTGAGTTCTTGTTTGACCTAGGGGTTGTTCAGTAACCTGTTGTTTAATCCCCGCATATCTGTGAATATTCCAGTTTTCTTCATGTAATTAATTTCTAGTTTCATACTGTTGGGGTCAGAAAAGATGCATGACGTGATTTCAATACTCTTAAATTTGTTAAGTCTTGTTTTGTGGCCTAATATACAATCTATCCTGGAGAATGTTCCATGTGCACTTGAGAAGAATGTGTATTCTGCTGCCTGTGGACAGAATGTTCCGTAAACATCTGTTAAGTCCATCTGGTCTAATGTGTCACTTAAGGCCAATGTCTCCTTACTGATTTTGTCTGGATCATCTATCCATTGATATAAATGGGGCATTAAAATCCCCTACTATCATTGTATTGCTGTCCATTTCTCCCTGTAGGTCTGTTAACATTTGCTTTACATACTTAGCTGTAACCGTGTTGTGCACACAAACATTTACAAGTGTTCTATCTTCTTGTTGGATTGACCCCACTAAGTAACACTCTCCCCCTTGTCTCTTATTATAGTCTTTGTTTTAAGGTCTATTTTGTCTGATAGAAGTCTAGCTGTTCTAGATTTTTGATTTCTTTATTTGGTTTCACTGTTGTCTGTGTGTGTCCCTGTATCTGAAGTGAGCCTCTTGTAAGCAGAATATCCACAGGTCTTGCGTTTTTCACCCATTCAGCCGCTCTGTGTCTTTTGACTGGACACAGAGTGAGTTCGTTTAAAGTAATTACTGACAGGCACGTGCCTGTTGCCATTTTTGTTGTTTTCTGTTTCTGTAGTTTCTCTCTGTTCCTTTCTTCTTTTCTCTTTGTGGTTTGATGACTTTGGTGGTATGCTTATGTTCCTTTTCTTTACTTTTTGTGCATTTGCTACAGGTTTTTGCTTTGTGGCTACCATGTGGCTTACATGTGACAACTTGTATCTGTAACAATCTATTTTCAGTTAATACTGAAGTTTGATCCCATTCTAAAGCTCAACACTTTTACTCTTCCTCGCCCCCACATTTGATATTTTTGAGTCATGCTTTATATCTTTCTATCTGTGTGTTCCTTAATGAGTTATTATAATGGTAGTTATTTTTACTACTTAGGTCTTTTAACCTTCACATTAGCTTTATAACTGATTAACCCAGTACTTTTACTATATACTTACCTTTCCAGTGAGATTTATTCTCGCACATGTGTTCTCGTGAACACCCTTTCTTTTCAGCTTAAAGAATTCCCTGTAACAAGGCCGGGTTAGTGGTGATGAACCCCTTTAGCTTTTGTTTCTCTGGAGAGCCCTTTGCCTCTCCTTCGCTTCTGAGTCGTAACTTTGCCGGGGAGAGTATTCTTGGTTGGAGATTTTCCTTTCAGTGCTTTGAATGTATCGTGCCTCTGCCTCTGGCCTGAAAAGTTTCTGCCGAAAAGTCTGCCGATAGACTTAGCATCACGTACATGTACATAACAAGTGGTTTTCATCTTGCTGCTTTTAAGGTTCTCTCCTGGCTTTTACTTTTTGGTAGGTAATTATAAGGTGTCTTGGTGTGGGTCTCTCTGGGTTCTTCTTCCTTGAAACTCTCTGGGCTTCTTGGATCTAGATGCCTGTTTCCTTCCCCAGATTAGGGAAGTTTTCAGCCATTACTTCTTCAAGGAGATTTCTGACCCTTTCTCTCTCCTCCTCTGGAAGCCCCATGATGCAAGTATTAGTCTCCTTGATGTCTTATGAGCTGCTAACTGTCTTCACTTTTTGTCATTCTTTTTGCTGCTCTCATTGACTGAGTTCCACTGACCTCGAGTGGCTGATCCTTTCTTCTGCTTCATCTGGTCTGTATTTCAGTTCAGCCGTTCTGTTGTTCACTCTGCGATTTCTCTTTGGTACGTTCTTGTATTTCCCATCTCTTTGTTGAGGTTTGGTGTCCATCGGTTTTTGTCCTGTTTGGTGAGCGTCTTCGTGACCATCGCTTTGAACTCCTTATCGGTAAACTGTCTCCGTTTCACTGAGATGCTTTTTCCTGAGGTTTTATCTTGTTCTTTCCTGGGAACATATTCTGTTTGTCCATTTCGCTGGACTCTCCGAGTTGGTCCCTGTACCAACTGGGAACACCCGCCTCTCCCAGTCTGGAAGGAGCGGCCTCGTGTAGGGGATGAACCTCGTCATTCAGGCCCGTCCCAGCTTTCGGTTGTCACTCAAACCTTCGTGCTGTCCCAGCACCTGTTGTGTCTTTGATACCTCCCGCAGTGGAGGGTGTGCCAAGACTTGTCATTGTCCCAGAGCGGAGGGTCTCAGCACGCAGATTCAGGGTGACTGGAAGCCAGGCCCACCGGCAGCAGCTTTTTAAGGTGTGCAAATACGTACAGTCCTGTGGGGCCATTAAAAACCCTCAGAAGTGACATCTGTGTTGCAAGACATGGACATGCCCGAATGAGCACAACGGCAGCTACGCAGTCCTTGAGCTGAAGGACCGTGGATGTGGACCTAAGCCATGGATCTCTCAGATAACGGTCGATCGACATCAACATCAAAGCGTAAAATGATGGCGCTTCCTCCTGGCTAAGTCTGATGGGGCGTTTCAGTGGACAGAAATGGAAGCACACCAAGACACAGAACTCAGCCTAGCCTCTTCATCAAGACAAATGGACTACAGACCCAAACTTCCCTCCCCTAAGCAAACATTCTCTCTTACGATACACCGTCCTTCCCTCTTGAGTTGGTGTAGGAAACTCAGAGCCTGTTTGTCTCTGTCCTTGCACGACGTACCCCTTATCTAAGAAAGGGTGATTCGAAGCTACACATGCTAAATCCAACGAGAGGCTGTGACATCAGGAAAGGGCAATCTGCCACTTCAACAGAAGCCCCCTCTTTCGCGCGAGTGCGGCAGGCAGAGGCTGCCTTCCCGAGCTGAGCGATTCCAGCCCCTCCTTACTTTGTGGTCTGTGGTAGCCATGCACTGGCCGGCTTTCTGTGTGTCCTTATGCTTCCTGTGGGACTCTGTCATCCCCAGCACGCTGCTCTCTCCTCCAGTTACTGGAGCTGAAGGTAAAGAGAGAACTTCCAGTTCAAATTCAATCATGTGGTACGCAGGAGCAGCGGGCAGACTGATGCTTGTGACCTTGTCAGACGACTGAACCCGGAGCAATGCATCAGAAGCCTTTTCTAGGAAAGACAGAAAGAGTCACTTCTAACACATTCCCTCCGCTGTTCCTTTCTCTACTAGTAGGCGACAGGCTCAGCAGTGAAGGTCCAGCCCAACTCCTGCTGCTGCTACGTGTGCAGAAGAGTGTACTAGAAAGGATTACGGTGGGAGGGCAGAGGCAGGAAAATCGGGAACAAACCCTCTAAGACAGTAATACTGTCTGGAAGCTGGCTGGCCGTGGGCCAGAGAACGGTCGCTGTGCTAAGTCTGAAAGCAGAAAAGGGACACTTCCCACAGGGCCCACCCGTGGCCTACTGTGTGTTTCCCTGCATCACGTGCTCCCGCTCCGTCCCACCACCAGACCCACGCCTGCCCAGAAGGGGACCAGTGTCCTCTCTCCACACCTCCTGCCTGGGGACCGGGGGACACGGGACTTTTTTAGGGCTTCTGCCCAGTGCCTAAAAAGGCTGATTTGCTTTTGCTTTTTGGTGATGGGGGTGGGGGTGGGGAGGTGGGAGGAGACTGGAGGCTGACAGGGCATCATCTTGGAGCAGGGACCCCAGCCAGGATACTGCATTACAAGTCCTTAGCAAGCTCAGCACCGCCTGGCCACCAAACATATGCACGGCTCTCAGTCCATCCCCCCCCCCCCAAATATAATGTCCCATCCAGCGACAGGGTCCTAGCCCACCTACAGGCAGGCCATTGCCATGAGAGAGCTGCAGGGAGAAGTGGTCCTCAGACACCGCCTGAGCGCGGCCTGGACGACAGGCGCCTTACAGCCTCACACGGTAGGGTCCGCCTTCACCAGGTGACTGCCACCTCACCTCTCGTGTTGGAGTAGATCACTGCTCTGTTCTCTGCGTGACACAGGATGAGCATGGCTTCCGCGTTGCTGAGCTGCAGGCTGTCCCCGTTTTTTACTGTATAATGGCCAGTGGTGACAGTGAACTTTACCTTCTGAGGGATACCAGCCAGAAGGCTATCTAAAGGGAAAAAGACAGCGATCAGTATCACAATCAGTGGACGGAAGGCCCACCGTGAGGTTAAAAGGATGCTCCGTTTCTCCTACTAAACCAGATGTGTTCCCTTTAGGTGCTCCATGATCCCCCCACGGCCCACCCCTCCACCCTCACTCTTCATCTCGGTGATGTGGGGTGCACAGTTGAGGGGGCCCTCGCTGGGAACAAGAGAACCTGAGACCCGTCAGTACCGAGGAGAGACCTGGGGATCACAGTGGCAACCACGTCTGTGAGGGTCTCAAAACTGATCTGCCAAAAAGGCAGCGAGAGAGAATCCGGTAAGGACACTAAAGACCGGACGTGGAATCGAATGTACTGCTGCTATTCAGAACCGCTTCTGGCTTCTTCGGGTTAGGTCTGGACCTTTGGGCAGAAGGTGCAGCCACTGCTTTCTCCCGGAAGGAAATGGAGGGCGGAGGTGGGCCGCGGTCTCTGTGAATCCCACCCCAGGACGGGCAGAAGGAAGAAGGCAAGAGGCGAGGAAGGGGGAGGAGGAAGAAACAGGTGAGAGGGGTGGGAAGGCGCAGGCAAGAACGGGAGTGAGGGCCATGGCCGGGAGCAAGGTATGAGCACCGCGACCATGGCGCTCGGAGCACTTGGGCCCTCGGGGCCACGGCGCTAGGTTCGTGTCAGCAGAGGCCCTCCGGTGGCGCCCTGGAACCGGCTGAGACGGCTCAGCACCCGAGGGCCTTCCCTGGAGGCCATGGGGGGCTTTTTTTTAAAAAAAAGAAAAGTAGGGAGTATGGAGAGAGTAAATAGAAAAAATGCTTTCCTTGACTCTTCTTCCCAAATGGAAGAAATAAGCCAAGTAAATACGTCGTCTTCGGCCTAAACAGCTGAGAAATTCACTCCTCTGTGCTTTCAATTAAGCGCCACGTGGTCTTTGCGCCAGTTCCTCCTACTCTGAGGACTTAACAAAAGGGCAGTGGCTGCGGAGAGGGACCGGGGGACCCCTCGGGAAGGGCCCCGCCCAGCCCGGCGCCCACTCACCGGCCAGCGGCTCGACGCGCAGTTGCGGCTCCTGCGAGTACACGTCGTACTGCACCGGGGGGTACAGGTGAGGGAGGACGAAGCGCACCGGGCCCACCGAGGCGCACAGCTGCCGCAGCGTGTACGTTCCGGGCTCCCTGGCCTAGAGGCACAAGCGGGCGAGTCACCCCCACTCCTGTACCAATCCGATCTATCGATCTATGGATCCTCCGAGGGAGGGCTGTGCCGTCCTAGCGGCCCGTCCCCGCCCCGCCCTCCCCCCTCCGCCCTGCACTTCCAGGGCCAGCCGCACAGGAGGTCGCTCGGGAGCGCCCTCCACCCACATCGAGGATTTCCTA